ATTCTACGTTCTTTTTCACATTTTAGAGCATTTCTATCATTAAAAATTTATGTAGTGCCTGAATTCCACGCTAGCATCCAAACTGGGCCTTTCCTTCACCAGTTTCCCCAGCACCTATGATAAAAATCATCACAGAGTGAAAGGATGAAAAGTATTTGTTTATTTCAATAATTTACATCTTGTTACTTCATCAATGGTATCGATGGCAAATTCCTTTTTTTTTTTTCTTTTTTGCTATATTAAACTTCCAAAGTCTCATTTTTCTAGTCTATGGGGCAAGGATCAAGCTGGGAAGGACATGGAGTTGGAGATGTGATATCTGTTTTCCAGTTAGTGAATAAGATAGTTGAGAATTCTTGTAACTCCTCTGCATGGCACTTCTGACTTTACACATTATCAGATATGGAATCCCTGAATCTCTCCAGTGATTTCTAATGCAAATCATATTCTAGCCCTTTGTTTGTGGCTGGCACATCAAGGGTTACTTTTTTGAAATTATAAAAAAATGATAAGCAAATACATTTTGAATGTATTTTAGATTAGATCATTCCCTGGAGAATTCACTTTTATTGCTGGTTTCATTAACATCTGGCAAATTTGACTTTATATTAAGCTATGTAAAAGTAGTTCTAAAGGAATTGACTGTTGAGGCCATTTTAATATTTTCCTTATGAGAGGCAATTATTGAATACATTTAACAAATCAACATCTTTACATGTTTATTGTTACCTTTGGAGTACTTTAAAAATGAGAACAGAAAATATCTGTTGAGTCTTATTATATAGTGTCCTTTTTGGCCTCTTGGAAGGGAGAGAAGAGAAAAGTGGAGTGGGATGATGTTGGAAAGACAGGAATACGAAAGTGGGGAGAAAAAAAGATTTTTTTTGTATTTTATTAGCTTGTAAATATCGTTTTATTTATCTGTGACAGCAGAATGCATTATAATACATATTGCACACATAGAGCACAAATTTTTCATATCTCTGGTTGTAAAAAAGTATATTCACACCAATTCATGTCCTCATACATGTACTTTGGATAATGATGTCAATCACATTCCACCATCATTTCTAACTGCATGACCCCTCCCTTCCCCTCCCACCCCTCTGCCCTATCTAGAGTTCTTCTATTCCTCCCACGCTCCCCCCTCCCTACCCCCCTATGAATCAGCCTCTTCATATCAGAGCAAACATTTGACATCTCGGTTTTTTGGATTGGCTAACTTCACTTAGCTTATCTTCTCTAACTCCATCCATTTACCTGTAAAGGCCACTTCAAACTGGTGCAGCCAATATGGAAAGCAGTATGGAGATTCCTTGGAAAATTGGGAATGGAACCACCATTTGAAACAGCTATTCCTCTCATCAGTCTATACTCAAAGGACTTAAAAACAGCATACTCCAGGGACATATCCACATCAATGTTTATAGCAGCACAATTCACAATACCTAAACTGTGGAACCAACCTAGATGCCCAGCTTGTAAATATCTTATCTGATACTCTAGTCTACTTTCAAAATATTATAAAACTTTACCTGTAGATCGATGCAGAGACATGTGGGGAGAGAATTCTTTCTTTGTAGCTCCCAGTCTTCAGTCTACACATAGAGAGGTTAAGGGGGTCATTTCCAGGACTATGGATCAGTTATGAAATGTGACTTTAGGGGAGCCATCAATGAGCAGATTTACCAAAATACTTCCATTATGAAGCTACCATAGTGGCAGGAAATTTATTCCTCATAGGCTCAAGGGATTACAGGTTTAGAGTACATTAAACATTCAAATATTTTGTGTGAGGTCTCTTACACAAACACCATGTAATGTTTTTACACTTATCAACCAAATACTCATCTTTAAGGGGGAAAAACACAGGGAGACACATTTTTATAAGTGAACAATATTTTCTTTGCCAATAATAAGCTATTGGAAGGACACTGGTGACACTCAGAATCAGTGAAGAGGCAACCAATCAGGTACTAAGGACAGAAATTAGGCAGGCCTGGGAACTTAAGATGATTACTTCCCCAAATCTCAGTATTCTACTTTGGATAATTGGAGACAAATTTAATGGTAAGTTTATAAAGTTGTAATGAGGAATAAATAAATCAGTTCTTATGTTTCGTACAATGACTGCCACATAGCAAGAGTACTTCGTAATTCAATGAAGATCATCTCTTATCCTGAATGCCCAAAGCCCTTTGGGTTTGCCAAAAGAAAGTCTGTGGTCAAGACAGACACTGATGACGTGGACCAGAGACACGGTAGTGGAGGTGATAGAAGTAATCAAACTCTGGATTGGAATAGAAGACAGAATTCCAACTTTATTTTCTTAGATTAAATGTGATGTACAAGAAAGACAGAGGAAGAATAATGTCAAGGTGTCAGAGCAAAGCAAATGGAATGTTGGAAGTTGCCATTTGCTGAGATGAAGATTGGAGTAGTCTGGTTTTGGATATCCTATGCTTAATTATTAAATTCAATGATAAATCTGTTAGACCTATAAGGACAGATGTCAAGAGCTCAACTGTATATATGTTTGTGTATGCTCCAGGGTGAGGTGGGTGGTGGTCCAGGATTGAGAGGTAAATATAAAACTGTAAGCAGAAGTTAAAATAAGTTCCTAACTACTTTCAAGTACTTTCAAGCGAGGAGACATTAATGAACTTCCTCTGACACATTCTGTTCTTTTGTCTCTAGCTAAAGCCTCTACTGATTTGGTTTCTTTGCCTAATAAGATAGTTCAAACCATTATTCTAGAAGTTTCTGTGCCTTTGGTAGAATTTGTGCCCTTGGTAGTACATTTTCTGCAGTCACTGTTAACATTTCCTGTTGGATGTGGTAGATCAAAAAGGTACCCAGAGGACCCTCCTGGTTGGGTAGCCCTTGTGCAGCTCTTGATGAGGAAGCTGGAAAAATGAGGCCACAGGAAAGTACTTTGAGGGAAGAAGCACCAGGGCTGGGAAAGATGAAGAAGATGAGAAGAGAATGTTGTGAAGACAGTTCTATTCGCTCCAATGATCCTTACTCAGTCTTTGTCCAGCGGCCTGAGGCGATCACAAACTACACCCAGCATTGACTCCTTCCCTACCCCTTTTGCTCACAGGAGTTCTCACCAAGGGAATCAGGGAATCACAGGCTTCACCCTCCTCCACTTGAGCACACAAGGTCAACGCAGGCTGCACGGACTTTTCTGCTATTAATTTTCATTAACCAAAAAGTGATTAAGTGGAACCAGCCCATTTTTTTTCTGTTCAGTGATTATTACCACCACCTGACTAATTATAAAAAAGCAAGCGAGCATCAATTAGCTCCAGACACATACATGACAATTACACTGGGGAGACACGACAGGGTTGAACAGCGCATCTCCTTGGAGCGCACAATAATCTGGCAGAGAACAGACCTCTGTGTAATAGTAACAAATGCATCTCATCGACTTCATGGGAAATAAGGTCCTCATGTCAACACATCTGAGTACAATTTCCTGGGCATTTAAGCAACTCTATAGCTCTGGAGAGGCATGGAGCTGGCCAGGGGCTGCATCCTGACTGGATTTAACTAATCCCCTTGCTTTTTATCCCTACTCTGTTCCTTTCCTTGCCACACAATGCTCTTCTCTTTAGCTCTTGGTCACACCCACCTGCTGTGGTTAGAAGTGAAGAGCTTTTCTGCCCACATCTCACCACCCAGTTCTCTGTGGAACTGAATCTGTGGACATTTCATTGTCAGAATGGAAGGGACAGTTAGTACTCAGCCTGTGTTCTTTGCTTCTTTTTTTTTTTAAACTGAGAACCATGTTCTCATCCTTTGATGCCTGGCCTAAATGTCACTGACTTACTGCGCCCCACCTCCTGCCATTAGCTGCTTTCCATTGTGTATTCCCACTTCCTCTCTCTGGAATGGCACTTACAAGATTTGTGTGGTAGCTTTACTGCTCACACATGTGTCTTTTCAATTAGCAGGCAAGCTGATTCTGATTGTGCTTAGGGACTATGTGGTCTTGAACTTGAACCTAAGCACCAGGTTGATGAGCTATTCAGTGAATGTTTGTAATATTCATGAACTAACTTTCAGCTAAAATAATTAGGTTAAAAAATAAGTCTGGGAAATAAAACATGTTTTACTCAATAGTTGGTACAATGGTTGGTAGGGGAGGAGGAGTATTGGACAGCTTCTGTGATGGATGATAGAGCACTGGTTCTCTGAGGCCAGAAGACCATCAGAATCACCTGTTGGGGCTGCAAATTCCTTAGTCCTACTTAAGACTACAAAACAAGATCCTCTGGAGTGGTGCCTATCACTCTGACTGTTCAAAAGAGATACCTCAGTCTTCTAGATACACAAGTTTGAAAGCCACTAGAATAGGGACAGGGAGGCAGTGGGTGAAAAGATTTTATTCCATAAGTGCAACTAAGAGGTACATAGGATAAAATATAAATCATTAGAGAAGAGAAAATATTGAAAGAGGTGAAACTATTCCACTCTCTGATAGAAGAGGGACATTCTTATCCTGCTATCAGCCCCGATATCTGTACATATCCTCAGGCCCATGTGCTCTACTACATTAATACAGGAAAGTGAAGTTATACTCCTGGGCTTCTGACAGAATAGGCCAAAATAGCTTACTGGAAAAAAACATTTCTCTGCTGCCCAATCTTATCTTCAGTGTTCTTGATGATTATTAATTATGTGTAAAATGTTTTAAATTAAAAACAATGTCTGAAACCACTTACTATCCAATAAAATGTAAACTCAGGAGTTTGTACTTATGGGTCCCTTTATACTGCAAGGCTACTCTTTTCTCATTTGAAAATTACCTAGTTTGTTGGCGCGAGCGCAGGCTGTGTGCGCGCCGGCGAGGGCAGGGGCCAGCCTGGCGCCCCGCGTGTCCGCCCACCGCGGCCTGGACTCATGCGGCCAGGCGCGAGCGGGCGGCGCGGAGCCCAGCGCCTTGGCCTGAGCCCTCCGCAGCAGGCTGCCTGCTGCTTCCTGGGGAGATCATGAAACGAGGTCGCCTTCCCAGCAGCAGTGAGGATTCTGACGACAATGGCAGCCTGTCAACTACATGGTCCCAGAACTCTAGATCCCAGAGCACAGGAGAAGTTCCTGCTCCAGACATGAAGACGGGAAGCCTTCAGAGGTGTTTAGGACAGACCTGATCACCGCCATGAAGTTGCATGACTCCTACCAGCTGAACCCGGACGAGTACTATGTGTTGGCAGATCCCTGGAGACAGGAATGGGAGAAAGGGGTCCAGGTGCCTGTGAGCCCGGGGACCATCCCGCGGCCTGTGGCCAGGGTTGTGTCCGAAGAGAAATCCTTCATGTTCATCAGGCCCAAGAAGTACATAGTGACCTCGGGCTCTGAGCCTCCAGACTTGGGCTACGTGGACATCCGGACGCTGGCCTTCAGCGTGTGTCGATATGACCTGAACGACATGGATGCCATGTGGCTGGAGCTGACCAACGAGGAGTTCAAGGAGATGGGAATGCCTGAACTGGACGAGTTCACCATGGAAAGGGTCCTGGAGGAATTTGAGCAGCGATGCTATGACAGTATGAATCATGCCATCGAGACCGAGGAAGGCCTGGGGATTGAGTACGATGAAGACGTGGTCTGTGACGTCTGCCAGTCCCCCATGGTGAGGACGGCAACGAGATGGTGTTCTGCGACAAGTGCAACATCTGTGTGCACCAGGCCTGCTATGGAATCCTCAAGGTGCCAGAGGCAGTTGGCTACGCCGGACCTGTGCCCTGGGAGTCCAGCCAAAATGTTTGCTCTGTCCCAAGAAGGGCGGTGCTATGAAGTCCACCCGCAGCGGAACCAAGTGGGTCCATGTCAGCTGTGCCCTGTGGATCCCTGAGGTGAGCATTGGCAGCCCCGAGAAGATGGAGCCCATCACAAAGGTGTCTCACATCCCCAGCAGCCGGTGGGCGCTCGTGTGCAGCCTCTGCAACGAGAAGTTCGGGGCCTCCATACAGTGCTCCGTGAAGAACTGCCGCACGGCCTTCCATGTGACCTGTGCTTTTGACCGGGGCCTGGAAATGAAGACTATCTTGGCAGAGAATGATGAAGTCAAGTTCAAGTCCTACTGCCCAAAGCACAGCTCCCACCGGAAGTCTCAGGAGAGCCTTGGCGAGGGCGCCACGCAGGAGAACCGGGCTCCCGAGTGCTCCCCCCGGAATCCGCTGGAGCCCTTTGCCAGTCTGGAGCAGAACCGGGAGGAAGCCCACCGGGTGAGCATCCGCAAGCAGAAGCTGCAGCAGCTGGAGGATGGGTTCTACACCTTCGTCAACCTGCTGGACGTGGCCCGAGCCCTGAGGCTGCCTGAGGAAGTGGTGGACTTCCTGTACCAATACTGGAAGCTCAAGAGGAAGGTCAACTTCAACAAGCCTCTGATCACCCCAAAGAAAGACAAAGAGGACAATCTAGCCAAGCGGGAGCAGGATGTCTTGTTTAGGAGGCTGCAGCTGTTCACGCACCTGCGGCAGGACCTGGAGAGGGTTCGGAACTTCACTTACATGGTGACCCGCAGGGAAAAGATCAAGCGATCTGTGTGCAGAGTCCAGGAACAGATGTTCAGTCTGTACACTAAGCTCTTGGAGCAAGAAAGAGTTTCAGGTGTGCCTTCTTCCTGCTCCTCCTTCTCACTGGAACACATGCTTCTGTTTAATAGTCCTTCTGTGGGTCGCGATGCTCCCAAGATAGAGGACTTGAAATGGCATTCTGCGTTCTTCAGGAAACAAATGGGTACTTCCTTGGTTCATTCCCTGAAAAAGCCCCATAACCGAGACCTGTTGCAGAACAGCAGTGGGGGCGAGGGCAAGGCCCTGCCCCAGCAGCCAGAGCTGTGCAGCGTGAGGGAGGGGCTGGGGGTCCCAGAGAGCTTTCTGAGTTTTGAAAACACCTTTGCAGAAGCACGTCTCATATCAGCACAACAGAAAAATGGTGTGGTGACAGCAGACCACGGGAAAAGAGACAGTTTTTTTCATTGTGATCTCATTAAAGGAGACTTGAAGGACAGACCTTTTAAACAGAGTCACAAGCCTCTCAGGTCCACAGATGTGTCCCAGAGGCATCTGGACAACACGAGAGCCGCCCCCTCCCTGGGAGTGGGGCAGTCAGCGCCTGGAGCCAGGAGGGACATGGTGCCCAGGTGCAATGGCTCCCTAGTCAGAGTGACCTGTAGTCAGACCACAGTCCAAGTGCCTACAACACCTGCCAGCCCAGGGAAAGACTGGGGGGGGGGGGGGTTCCGGATTCCAAAGAAGGGGGAGCGGCAGCAGCAGGGAGAGGCCCCCAAGGGCACCTGCCACCAGCACTCAGACTACCCCTACCTGGGCCTAGGCCGAGCTCCAGCCAAGGAACGCACAAAAAGCAAATTAAAACCTGACACTGAGAATGACGGGTATGTCCCCGATGCAGAAATGAGTGACTCGGAGAGTGAGGCCTCGGAGAAGTGTGTCCATGCCAGCAGCACCATCAGCAGGAGGACAGACATCATCAGGAGGAGCATCCTGGCCTCCTGACCCCTGGCCTGTCGCCATGTGCCGGGGAGGTCTGGTGGCGGGGACAAGCAGAAGCCCTTTATTCCTTAGCTACACAAACACATTTTTACAATTCAGACTGAATTTTTTTCCAGAGTCATTTATAAATCATCGTTGTGAGAAGTTTGTGTTATTTGCAGCTTGTTGAGGAGACAGAAGAGTAGATTGTAACCGTAGGACATGGTAGATTAGCACCTGAATTACACCCTACACAGGATGAGTGGAGTCAGTGTGGACGAGGGCAAGGCTTACCCACGCCTCGTGGATGTCTGTTGCTCTCTGCATTCTTCCCAAAGCACAAACTCCTGGTTCCCCGAGTATACAGAATCAGAATTCTAATGAATTAATACATTTATAGAAACCAATTGTAGCCCACAGAGCTCGTTTTCTAGGACTGTGGTCAGCCTTGAAATGGTGTGGCCCACGAGGCAGTTCTGCTGCATAGACAGAGGCAGCAGCTCTGACCCTGAGCGACACTAGGAGACTCGTGTAACCCAGCAGCCAGGGAAGAGAGAATTTATAAAAGGTCATTACTGGAGTCACTGTAGGATGGGGAGAGCTGCTGCGCCTGGAGAGGCCTCGCTCCTGAAGCCTGTGAGTGGATGTGGGATGCAGGACTGGCAGAGAGTGAAGCCACCTAGAAAGTTCTCTGAGAAAGGGCAGCTGGAGTCCCACTTTCACCAGTCCTTCTGACCTTCCTCTTCCTTAACCACTGGCTCTTGGGCCAGCTTAGGTTTCCCCTGGCCATTGCCAGGACCTGGCCACCTGGCTATTCAATTCAAGTGACGAACTTCAGACTCTGGTGACTGGTACTTCCCAGAGCCCACCACTAGTGCATATGTTGGGGATCTGGGCTTCCAGCATGAACGGATTCCTTAATAAAAAGGGAAAAAAAGAAAAAAAAAAGAATAAAGTGAAATAGGTTATATTTTAAAAACAATAGAAAGGCAATAACTTGCGATAAGCTCTTACCATTGACCGAGGCTGAACAGGAAGGAGACTGAGGTGTGCCCTGCGCAGGTTTCCTGGAGTCAGAGCTCTGCACTCTCATTTGTAACTTGGACTTTCTAATTGCAAATGGCAATAACTAGTAAGTTATCAGCAATAATTTAGCGTTCAATTTGAGTACAATATTCTGTTTTTGTACTCGCTGGAGTGTGTGTATTAAGACGGTGGATAGTGTTAAGGTACTGTTAATTTTCTTTGGAATCCAATGTAGTTGTGAATCAAACTTATGAGAAGGAAAGTTTAAATAGTAATGAGATTTAGAATTATGGGCATTTGGATAATTCCCTAAATTACCCCTTAGTTTGTTAATACCAGTATTGAGATTCCTGATTCATTTACACATCTGTTTCCATGTGGCAGGGACATTCTGATGCTTAATGAATAATGCTTTGAGTTCTGTAGTTAACTTTCAAGTCTTCCAGATGATTGTCAACAACAAAAAGGCTTATTGAATTCCATCTTGCTATGCAAGTTTTATCAGATGATCGAATAGTAGATCCAATGTACCCCATTGTGTGTATGATGTTTCCAAACAAATCTTGACTTCTCAAGTACATTGTAGTAGCTAATTCAGGGGAGGGGAAAGAACGACCCAGGTTTTTAGATTGACTATTTTTGAGCTATGGGGCTCAGTTTGAAAGACTGCTGTCTAGATCAGCTTTTTGCTACGGATATTAGAAGGTTCTTAGGAATCCAAGTTGTACATTTGCTCATAGCATAATTTAAAAATTAAAAAGTTTTTTTTCTTTTTTAATATGAGCAAAAACCTTTTGCTGGACACAGGAGAAGGTTGGACTCTATATAGTTATCTTTTGATTGCAGCAGCAGCTCTGGGTGAGAGTAGGATTTATAGAGGGATAATTTGTTAAGCCATAGAAAGAAAATCTAAATTAATCTAATAAGTATATGACCTCTCACCATTTTAAGAGGTATCAGATTCATTTGCACTATTAGGAATGCTAGTTTTGTGCAAAAATAATGCCTTACCTGTTTTTCCCCACATTTAGGTTAAAAAGCTTTCAAATGTTCCAAGTTATGCTGAACCAAAAAAAAAAAAAAAACCGAAAACAAAAAAATAAATAAAAAACCCCACACAAAAACAAAACACAAAAATAATAAAAAGCCCACACTTTTTATTCCTGCTTCAAAATGCAAATGGTATAGAGCACGGTTTCTCTGACAGTATAATGATAGCTTTGTAGGTTAGTCTTGTGTCACGCTAGGAGCTCTGTATGAGTGGCCATAGCAGCAGCCAGCCCAGCCCACCCACTCACATTCTATTAGTATGGAACCATTTGCTTTTTCTTTTCTTTTTCTCCTTTATCTTTCCTTGTGCATCCTGACCAAGAAATATCTTTGATTATGACCAATGTATTATGTCAAAATGTAGGCTAGTTTAACTTTTGTAAAGTTGCCTGGAATGTCATTTGTTAGGTTATAAACACAAAATCTAAATGAAGGGTTTTATGTGTTGTGTACAAATCTTAATTATTTTGAAATGGACAAACTTGTCATTACATTTGTAACCTTGTACAGAGGATTTTTCACTATGTGCCTAGCTTGGTGTCCATTCAGCTAAAATCGAAAAAAAAAAAAGGTGCATGAAGAGTTAAAAATCAGAAATTAAAGTATATGTAGAGATGACTATTTTATATTACATGGCCTATCCTGTATTTATTTCTTCCCCCCTTTTTGAAAGTATTTATAAAACTAGTTGAGGACAGCTGTATTTTTTTGTTGAACTATTTAGTAGAATTTGTGCCTTTTTGTCTGTATGTGAATAAATGCTGTACATTTTGCAATACAAAAAAAAATTACCTAGTTTGTTATTCCATGATAGGACAAAACAGACTAAGGTAATCTCTAAATGGACATATCAGCTTTTGAAAAAAACATCTTTTACTTGTTCTACTTAGTTGTACATGATAACAGAATACATTTCAATTCATCATACACAAATAGAGTGCAAAATTTCTATTCTCTGGTTGTACGTGGTGTAGAGATGCACCATTCATGAAACCACACATGTCCCTGGGGTGATGATGTACATTAATTCCACCATCTTTTCTATCCTCATAACCCATACCCACCCTCCTTTTTGTCCAATTCAAAGTTTCTCCATTCTTCCCATGTCCCCCCAGCCCCCCATAATAGATCAGCATCCACTAATCAGATAAAATATCTGGCTTTTAGTTTTTTGGGATTGGCTTGCTTCACTTGGCACAAATTCTCTAACTCCATCCATTTACCTGTAAATGCCATAATTTTATTCTCTTTTAATGCTAAGTAGTATTCAATTGTGTTTGTGTTTGTGTGTGTGTATGTGTATGTATGTGTGTATATATATATCTCACAATTTCTTTATCCATTCATCTATTAATGGGCATCTAGGGTAGTTCCACAGTTTAGCTATTTGTGAATTCAGCTGCTATAAACATTGGTATGGCTATGTCACTAGAGTATGCTGAATTTAAATCCTTTGGGATAGACTGAGGAGTGGGATAGCTGGGTCAAATGGTGGTTCCATTTCAGGTTTTCTGAGGATTCTCCACACTGCTTTCCAAAGTGGTTGTACCAATTTGCAGTCCCACCAGCAATGTATCACTGTACCTTTTTCCCCCATATACTCTCCAACACTTATTATTGCTTGTATTATTGATAACTGCCATTCTGACTAGGTTGAGATAAAAATCTTAATTTTGATTGTATTTCTCTATTTACTAAGCTTCTAGAAATATTAAATGAATTAAGCAAAGTAGCAGGATATAAAATCAGTACCCACAAATCAATTGCATTTCTATACATAAGTGATGAATCCACTGAAAGAGAAATTAGGAAAACTACCCCATTCAAAATAGCCTCAAAAAATACAAAATACTTGGGAATCAGACCTCTACAATGAAAACTACAGAACATTAAAGAAGTAAGTTGATTCTTTAAAGATGGAAGAAAGAAAGATCTCCTCTCCCATATTCTTGGATAAGCAGAAATAGTATTGTCAAAATGACCATACTACCAAAACTGTTATACAGATTTAATGCAATTCTTATTAAAATCCTAATGTCATTCTTCATAGAACTTGAAAAAGCAATCATGACATTCATTTGGAAAAATAAGAGACCCAGAATAGCCAAAGCAATCCTTAGCAAGAAAAGCAAAGCAGGAGGCATCACAATACCAAAGCTTAAACTATACTGCAGAGCAACTGTAACAAAACAGCATGGTATTGGCACCAAAATAGACATGTAGACCAAAGGTACAGAAGACACAGAGACCAACCCAAATAAATACAGTTATCTCATACTAGACAAAGGAACCAAAGACATACATTGGAGAAATGACAGCCTCTTCAACACATGGTGCTAGGAAAACTGGAAATACATATGTAGCAAAGTGAAATTAAACCTCGATCTCTTACCATGCACAAAACTCAACTCAGAGTGGATCAAGGAACTGGGAATTAGACCAGAGACCCTGCACCTAATAGAAGAAGTAGGTCCAAATCTTTATCATGTCAGAGTAGGGCCTGACTTCCTTAACAAGAGTCCTAAAATGCAAGAAATAAAATCAAGAATCAATAAATGGGATGGATTCAAACTAAACAGATTCTTCTCAGCAAAAGAGACAGTCATTGAGGTGAAGAGAGAGCCTATGGTAAGGGAGCAATTTCTTACCACACATACATCAGATAGAACACTAATCTCCAGGATATATAAAGAACTCAAAAAACTTAATACCAAAGAAACAAACAACCCAATCAATAAATTGGTTAAGGAACTGGACAGACATTTCTAAGAAGATATACAAGTGATCAACAAATATACGAAAAAGTGTTCAATGTCTTCAGTAATTAGAGAAATACAAATCAGATTTTTATAATTATTGATCACACACTCTTTTCCTTGGCCACTTAGTCATAGATGAGCATTATTGGTTATAAGCAAATGAGTGGCATAGCCTCCAAATAGGATGAAAAAATCCATTAAGTATAAATGACAATGCATATGATCTTTATTTACTACAAAACAAAAACAACCTCAA